GGTGTGGGCTATAGCACACAAATATTTGGGAATCAGGCGGAATTTCAGTTTTATGGCCCTAAACACCAAAAATGAGGAACGGCGCGAGGCGATTACTAATGTTCCTTAGATCCTTTTTTATGTGCCAGCAAAATTTTAGACGATTTGGGTGCAGATGCCCGGACCCATGCAGATAGCGTGGACTAGAGCACACAAATATCTGGGAATCATGCAGAATTCTTGTTTTATGACCTTGAAACGCTAAAGAATAGGGAACGATCATGGCAAGGCGATGACTAATGTTCCTTAAGTTGTTTTTGATAGGCCGGTAAAATTTTAGGCAATTCGAGTCTGGTCTCCCGGGCTCATGCAAATGGCCTGGTCTATAGCACACAAAATCTAAAAATCGGGTGGAATTTAAGTTATTTTGCCTATCCCAAATATGAGGAACGGTCATGGAGAGGCGATGGCTAATGTTCCTTAGGTAGTTTTTTATGGGCCGACAAAATTTTAGGCTATTCGGGTTCGTACGCCCGAACCCATGTAGATGGCACAGGCTAGCACACGAAAATCTGAAAATCAGATGAAATTCCTACTTTATGGTCCTAAAACGCCAAAAAATGAGGAACAATCATGGCGAGGCGATGATTAATGTTCCTTAGGTCGTTTTGATAGGCCGACAAAATTTTAGGTGATTCGAGTACGGTGTCCTAGACCTATGCAGATGGCGTGGGCTATAGCACACGAAAATTTGGAAATCGGGCAGAATTCCAGTTTCATGACCCTAAAACGCCAAAAAACTAGGACCGGTCATGGCAAGGCGATGACTAATGTTCCTTATGTCGTTTTTGATGGGCTAGCAAAATTTTAGGTGATTCGTGTATGGACGCCCGGACCCATGCAAATAGGATGAACTATAGCACACAAAAATATGGGAATCGGGCTAAATTCGAAGTCGGTTGTGCGAGTTCATGCAATTAGCACTAGCATAGATTATAACGCACGAAGATTGGGAAATCGTCCTTAATTCCTATTTTATGGCCCTAAAATGCCAAAAAATTAGGAACGGTCATGGCGAAGCGATGATTATTATTCATTAGGTCATTTTTGATGGGCCCACAAAATTTTAGGCGATTCTGAACCGGTTGCTTGAGGACTATAGCACATGAAAAATCAAAAAGTGTGCATAATTCCTGTTTTATGGCCCTAAAATGCCAAAAAATGAGGGATGTTCATGGCGAAGCGGTAACTATTGTTAATTATGTCGAATCTGATTATCCAGCAAATTTTAGGCAAATCAGAGTCGGTCTGCTAAATTCATGCAAATGGCGTGAACTATAGCATACGAAAAATCTGAAATCGTCCTGCATTCCTGTTTTTGGCTCTAAAACGCTAAAGAATACGGAACGGTTGTGGCGAAGCGACTCGGTCGCCCTAGTTCATACATATGTCATAAACTCTAGCACACGAAAAATCAGAAATTGTGGTGAATTTTTATTTTATGTACCTAAAACGAAAAAAACGAGAAACGATTAATGGCAAAGCGATAACTATTGTTCATTAGGTCATTTTTGATGGACCCGCAAAATTTTAGGCGATTCGGAGCCGTTCATCCGAGTTCAGGCAGGCGTGGAATATATGGCCCTAATATGCCAAAAACGAGTAACGGTCAAGGCGGAGCGATGAGTTTTGTTCATTATGTCATTTCTGATAAGCCCGAAAATTTTTAGGCAATTCAGAGTCGGTCGCCTGAGTTCATGCAGATGTTGTGGACTATACCACACGAAAAATTGGAAATCATTGTGAAACCTTGTTTTATGGCCTTAAAACTCCAAAAAACGAGGAACGGTCACGGCGAAGCAATGAATATTATTTAGTGGGTCATTTTTATGGGCCCGCAAAACTTTAGGCGATTTGGAGCTAATCGCCCCAGTTCATGCAGATGGCGTGGATGCACACGAAAAATCGGAAATCATGCTAAATTCCTGCTTTAGACCCTAAAACGGCAAAAAACTAAGGAGCAGTCATGGTGAAGCGACAGTTATTATTCATTAGGTCTTTTCTAATGGGCTTGCAAAAAATTTAGGTAACTCAGAGCTGGTCACCCGAGTTTATGCAGATGGCGTGGACTATAGAACACAAAAAAATAAAAATAAAACGTGTTGAATTCCTGTTTCATAGCCTTAAAACGCCAAGAAATTGTCCTAAATTTCGGTTTTATAGCCCTAAACACAAAAACGATGAACAATCATGGTGAAGCAATGACTATGGTTCATTAGATCATTTCTGATGGGTCCGCAATATTTTAGGAAATTCGTAGTCGGTCACCCGAATCATGCGGATGGCGTGAACCAAAACACGAATAATCAAAAATCATCCTGAATTCCTATTTTATAGCTCCAAACACAAAAAACGACGAACGGTCATGGCGAAGTGATGACTATTGTTCATTAAGTCGCTTCTGATAGGCCCGAAAAATTTGAGGTTATTCAGAGTCGGTCACCCGAGTTCATGCAGATGATGTAGACTATAGCACACGAAAAACTAGAAAATCAACTTAAATTCCTATTTTATGGCCCTAAAACGCTAAAAATTGATTAACGGCCATGGCGAACCGATAACTATTGTTCATTAGGTGTTTCTAATGGTCCCACAAAATTTTAAGTGATTTGGAGCCGGTTACCTGAGTTCATGCAGATGGTGTGGATTATATCACACGAAAAATCGAAAATCGTTATGAATTCCTATATTATAGCGTTAAAACACCAAAAAATAAGAAACGGTTATGGCGAAACAATAATTATTGTTCATTAGGTCATTTTTTATGAGTGCATGAAGTTTTAGGCAATTCGGAGCCAGTGCCTGAGTTCATGCAGATGTCGTAGACTATTGCACAAAAAATCAAAAATCGTACTGAATTCTTATTTTATAGCCTTAAAACACCAAAAAACGCGGAAAGATCATGGCGAAGCGATAATTATTGTTCATTAGGTCTTTTTTTATAGGCACGCAAAATTTTAGGCGATTCCGAGTTGGTTGCCCAAGTTGATACAGATAGCGTGGATAAAATCAAAATCGTCTTGAATTCTTGTTTCATGGCCTTAAAACGTCAAAAATCGAGGACGGTCTGACTATTGTTCATTAGGTTATTCTTACGGGCCCTCAAAATTTTAGGCAATTTGGAACCGATCACCCGAGCTAATGCAGATGGCGAGGACTATAGCACATAAAAATTAGAAAATTGCCCAGAATTTCTATTTTAAGGCCCTAAAATGCTAAGAACGAGGAACGGTCATGGCGAAGCGATGAATATTGTTCATTAGGTTGTTTCTGATGGGCCCGCAAAATTTTAGGCGATTCAGAGATTATTGCTCGAGTTTATCCAGATGACGTGGACTATAGCACACAATAAATCAAAAATCATCCTAAGTTCCTTTTTTATGGCCCTAAAACGCCTAAATATGAGGAACGGTCATGGCGAAGCGATGACTATTGTTCATTATGTCATTTTTGATGGGTCTGTAAAATTTAGGTGATTCGGAGTCGCTCGCCCAAATCATGCAGATAGCGTGGACTATAGTACATGAAAAATCGAAAATCGTCCTAAATTTCTGTTTTATGCCCCTAAACGCCAAAAAACGAGGAATGTTCATAGCAAAGCAACGACTATTTTTCATTATGTCATTTTTGATGCATCTGTAAAATTTAGGCGAGTCTGAGTCGTTCGTCCAAATTCATACAGATGGCATGGACTAGCACACAAAAAATCGAAAATCGTCTTGAATCCTTGTTTTATGACCTTAAAATACTAAAAAAACGAGGAACGGTCATGGAGAAGTTATTATTGTTGTTCATTAAGTCGTTTCTGTTGGGCCCGCAAAATTTATGGAGATTCGGAGCCAGTCACCCATGTTCAACTCGAACGTCATGGCGAAGCAATGAATATTGGTCACTTAAGTCGTTTCTTGTGGACGTACGAAATTTCATGCCAGTGTCTGTCAAAAAAAATCTACAAAATTAGCATTTAGTAATACACACGAAAAGTGAATATAATCACAAATGCATGTTACATGACCAGGAAACGCCAAAAAATAAATCTGAAAGTCATGGCGAAGCGATCTGTATTGGTCACTAAACCTTTTCCTATACATCTACAAAATTTCAAGCCAATTAAAGCCCGCCAACAAAATTTCTAGAAATCAACATGTACTAATACACACGAAAAAGTGGATGTAATTATAAATTCGTGTTGCATGATCCTAAAACACAAAAAAAGAACCTAAAATTCCAAAAAGCAATGAATCATGGCGAAGCAACGAGTATTGGTCACTAGGTCGTGTCATATGGACCGAAGAAATTTCAACCAGATAGGAGCCGCTCAAAAAAATTCTACAAATTCAGCATGTACTAATACACACGAAAAAATGGATATAATCGCAAACTCATATTGCATGACTATGAAATGCCATAAAATGAACTAGATAGTCGTGGTGAAGCAATGAGTATTTGTCACTTGGTCATTTCCTTTGGACCTACAAAATTTCAGGCCAATCAGAGTCTATCAAAAAAATTCTACAAAATTAGCATGTACTAATACACACGAAATATATATATATATAATTACAAATTCATATTGCATGACCTGAAAGCGCCACAAAATGAACCCGAAAGTAATAGCGAAGCAATGAGTTTTTGTCACTAGGTCATTTTCTATGAACCGACGAAATTCAGGTCAATCAACGTCCGTCAAAAAAATTCAACAAAATCGCATAGTATACACACGAAAAAATGGATATAATTGCAAACTCATATTGCATGACTATGAAATGCCATAAAATGAACTAGATAGTCATGGTGAAGCAATGAGTATTTGTCACTTGGTCATTTCCTTTAGACCTACAAAATTTCAGGCCAATCAGAGTCTATCAAAAAAAATTCTACAAAATTAGCATGTACTAATACACACAAAATATATATATATATATAATTACAAATTCATATTGCATGACCTCAAAGCGCCATAAAATGAACCCGAAAGTAATAGCGAAGCAATGAGTTTTTGTCACTAGCTCATTTTCTATGGACCGACGAAATTCAGGTCAATCAACGTCCGTCAAAAAAATTCAACAAAATCGCATAGTATACACACGAAAAAATGTATATATTCATAAATTCGTATTACATGACCATGAAACAACACAAAATGAACCCGAAAGTCATGGAAAAGCAATGAGTATTGGTCACAATGTCATTTCCTATAAACCTGCAAAAATTCAAGCCAATCGGAGTCCGTCAAAAAAACTTCTACAAAATCAGCATGCACTAATATCCACAAAAAAGTGGATATAATCATCAGTTCGTATTGCATGACCATGAATCGCCATAAAATGAACCCGAAGTCATGGTGACGCAATGAATATATGCCACTAGGTCGTTTCCTATAAACCTATGAAAATATAGGCTAATCAAAGTCCATCAAAAAACTTATACAAAGTCAACATGTACTAATATGCGCGAAAAAAGTGGATATAACCACAAATTTGTTTTGCCTGACCTCGAAACGCAATAAAATGAACTCGAAAGTCATGGCAAAGCAATGAATATTGATCTACAAAAATACCAGGCCAATTAGAATCCGTCAAAAAAAATATATAAAATACGCATATACCAATACACACAAAAAAGTGGATATAATCACAAATTCGTGTTACGTGACCACGAAACGCCAAAAAATAAATCTGAAAGTCATGGCGAAGCAATGAGTATTGGTCGCTAATCGTTTCCTATGGACCTACGAAATTTCAAGACAATTAGTCCACCAAAAAAAAAGTTCTAGAAGATCAACATGTACTAATACATTCAAAAATGTGAATACAATCATTAATGCATGTTGCATGACCCCGAAACATCAAAAAAAGAACCAGGAACGCCAAAAAACTACGTTAGTCATAACGAAGCAATGAGTATTGGTTAATAGGTCGTTTCCTATTGACCTACGAAAATTCAAACCAATCGGAGTCCGTCAAAAAATTCTATAAAATCGATACGAAAAAGTGGATATAATCACAAATTTGTATTGCATGACCTCGAATGCCATAATCTGAACCCGGAAGTTATGATGAAGCAACGAGTATTGGTCACTAGACAATTTCCTATGAACCTACGAAAATTCAGGTCAATCGTCCGTCATAAAAATTCTTTAGAAGCATGTACTAATACACACGAAAAAGTGGATATAATCACAAATTCGTGTTGCATGACCTCAAAACACCATAAAATGAACTCGAAAGTAATGGCAAAGCAATGAGTATTGGTCGCTAGGTCGTTTCCTATGGACCTACGAAAATTCAAATAAATCGGAGTACATCAAAAACTTCTACAAAATCAGCATGTACTATACACATAAAAAAGTGGATATAATCAAGTATAAAGATAAATTGGGAGCTAGAACAAGAGTTCTAACACGTACACTCTATATATGTGCGACAATAGAGAAGTTGTGACATCCTTAGTTAATTTAATCTGCTGTCATTGTCCTTGTCCAATTACAATTTTCAACCTGAGGAAATAAGGAAAGGTATCAAAACACAAGGTTAGAGCAGATGACTTTACCATTGAAAGACAAAAGCAGAACTTGAGAATCTATGCGTAAAATGTTCAATCTGACATCTTCTTGGAATGTAAACTGATTTTGAACACCAAATAGCAAAGGCTAAGGTGATAAGCAGGATTGAAAAGAGTAGAAATGAATTAGGATAAAATTGCAGACTAACCTAGGAGTTTGGCAACAGCCGCCCA